AAATTGTTATTTTCGATAAAAAAAAATACACTTGTATAATAAATACTATTAATGAAATATATATATATATATGAATAAAATAATACTTCAAATTATACATGAAAGTTTGATTTTATTGACATTCATGAGAATTACTAAAATAAATTCATGTCCACAAACTACAATGAAAAAAAGAAACAAGAAGATTGAAGAGACTATTGAGTAAAAATTTTTTTGATAAAAATGTTAAAATATTTGGAACAACTGAGCCAATTTTTTTCATATTTTAAAATTAATATCATAAAAAAGGCCATCTTACATGAAAAAACTTATTTTTTGCTCATTTCTAATGTGAAAATTAAAAAAATGAAAAATAACAATTCACTAAGTATCATGGGATCAAATTTCATAAACTTTGTATTCTAAGTGAGTTCCAAAAAAATCGCCAGTGTTTCAGTTAAAACATACAATCAAAGTGGACCAGATTATTTAAAAAAATTATTTAAAATATTGAAATGAAATATTGCTAAAATTTATGATGAAAGATTGATAAAATTTCAATAGACATTTCTACCTAATATTTGAAGATTCAATCCAGTTGAAAGAAAAAAACTTTAATTTAATTCATCTCTATCTTAAATAAAAAATGATAATTTTTGAGAAAATATGAATATAAATGATATAAATTTGTAATATTTTATTTAAACCGATTTATTATATCTTAAAATTAAGCATTGTGTATAGTCACATGATGATGACTTTGAATATTATACTGATGTTATAATCATGTTATAATTTTTGAACACATTTTTGCTAATAATAAGTTTAATTGTTCTGATTTAGCAAATTATGAACAGAAAAAATGATTGAATTTTTCTAAATATAGTATAAAAATAAAAATAAAAATTTTTTCAATGGAAAAATTAATCAATGTCATGTGAACGTCAAAAAGAAGTTTTGATAGTAAATTGCTATATACAAGAATTTTATTGACATGATGTGATGAAACATAATAATAATAAAAATATTATGAAAGAAATGATGATTAGATGACTCTGATGTCTTATTTGATAATAAATAATTTTGATTAATAAATTTATTTTTAATTAAATAGATGAAATAAAGAATTAATAAAAGTAACTAAATATGTTTTAGTCAAATAAAACCAAAATAAAATTGTTGGAAATTCACACAAATATCATTATATGATAATGGTACTTGTCATCTCATAATCTGTTGTTGACTTAGATATAAATAATCAATTTTTAATGATGACAACACAATCAAATCAGATTGAAGCAACGTTGAATGAATAGAGTTGTGATTTTCATAAATTGATACACACATTATGTAATATTTTTTTATCATGACTGGATAATATGTTATGGTCTAAATAAAAAATAAGAGAAATTAGTGTTCTTTTGGCTCCATTAGATTTAAAAATTAGCGCTTTTTTTTATCTTTATATAGAAAGAAGTTTAGGCTTACATAAGATATTTTGCATCTTTTACGAGATTTGTAAAGTTTTATCAATTTGTTTGTGACACATTTGAAATAAGATTGAAATTTCAACAAAATGGGTTATATATAAGTTCAAAAATTAAAAATTTGGGAAATCTGAGACATTTTTATGATGTATTGGTATTTCAAAACGATATATAATTCTAAATATATATTTTCCGAAAAAATGCACAAGAAGTAATTTTATTATTAAAATAATAATAAAAATCTTTAGAATTGATTTGATGACAAAAAAAGAGCTAAAATACAACCCAAAAGTTAAGAAGTGCATTGTGTCTCACATGTTTTAGACACACACTAGTTACTTCATACGAAAATATTATATAAATATAAATATAAATAAATAAATAAACATTTCATTTTAACTTTGAATGATTTCATGTTTTATTTTTATATTATTCAGAAAATAAAAATAGGGAAAAATACACACTTATTTGAAATTTTTTGAACAAATGTACTTCATGGATATAAGGAGTTTAAAATATTCACCTTTGATACATTTTTTTGTAAGCAAATAGATATGAAAAACTTGAATTTCCAAACTGTGTGAAACTATGAGAATATCTTGCAAAAAATTTTAAAATTTGATTGACAATGAATGTTTTGAATCTTAAAAGCTGCAATACTTTGAAATTACAATTTTATCAATCTGAACTTACTGTATAGAAAAATTCACAAAATATTTTCAAGTACAGACATTCAATATTGCATTTTATTGCTAGTATTTACGAATTTTTTGAATAAATAAATTCAAATGTCACAACATAAATCATGTAGTGGAAAAAAGTTGATTCATAAATTAATGTGTTGATATTGTGAGAATATTTATTTAAAAATTGATATTAATCATATTATCACAAAGAAAGAAGATTTTTATGGTTCAATTTTATCATTTTTTCATGGATTTCTTTCGTGCTTCCTAAGGTTTTAGTTTTTCTAAATTATTATAATATAAATTTCAGAACAAGTAGAATGTTAAAAATAAGAATGAAAGTAAAACGTTGGAAGTCATATGTTTGCATACATTTTACTGAATAATTTTTAAGCAAAAAAGTTGCATATTCAAGTTTCATTTTACTTCTTACATTAAATACAAGGGATAATTTTTTTGAAAAAAATTAATTTTAGTAATGCTGATCAATTAATTGAAAATATTAATTTTTACTACAAAATAAACATAATAGATCTTGAAAATTACATATTTTTTTAATTATGTTATAATCTATGAGTAAATTTATCCAAAAGATGTAAAAAACAGATGATGTTATTTAATGTTTTCAATTTCATAGAACGTTGAAACGGAACTAATTATTAGAACTTCACAAAATTTAATACTTTGGAATATCTTTATAGGAATTTTCTGAAGTGGAATAGATTTAAATGTGGATTTATGAGGAGAAGATTAAAAGAACCTTAACTCATCTGGATCAAGAGACATATGCTATTTTAAGTTTGTAGATGTTTTCATAGTGAATCGATGTGTAAGGATTGAAAGTTAGTAGAGTTGTGGTAGTCAAAATGTCCAAGTACATATAGATAGAATTCAAGCTCTTTGTTTATCTAATCCTGGGATTTTGCAAAACTATTATTTTAGATCTCAACGTGTTTGTAATGAAGAGCTCCAAAGCCTGCTAAAGTATTGGACAAAATATGTCAATAATATGTATCATCCAATGCTTTATAGAAATCTCATGCTGGTGCTACATGACTAATCACCTGTGTTGATTGCTATTAGACTATTGCCACGATAGTATAGATAGATTGAAGGTAAAAGTACATATTTTCCACATTGATGCTATTGGGCCTACACATCATGGACTCCATTTGATGGGATGACGCCATCAAATGTGTTTAGTAAAAGGTAGGATCTTCCCGTACCTTTTTCTAGATCACGCTCTCCTCCTTAAGATCTCGCGGAGATGATGCGTCTCAAGTTCCCCCTTCACCAACCTACCTCAACAACAGACCATGTAGTCGTTTCTGGAATGCATCACGTGCTCAGCAACCATACTTACTTCGGATGGGAATTTTGTTCGACAGAACCAGACATTGGCTTACGCAACGGACACGTACGTGGTGTCCATAGGCGGTCGACTGCTGACAGAGCCACTTTTGGAACTCCTCCTCGATTTGGGCGCCGTCTTTGGTAAGTTTGATAATGATGTGGCAAATTGTTTGTGTTCGTGAGAAACATGAGGTATAGGCAGGTCAGGAAACATACAGGAAACTGATTGCGAGATTATATCCTAGTCGTTATCTAAAGCTCGAATCATCTGTAGGTCCGACATAAAAGTATGCATGACGTGGGTTTGTTTTGCCGCCAAATTTTTATATATTAAATGATAACACAAACAGATATACCCCGAGGATTCAGGTGCAAGGGGTAAGTCTGGTGCTTGCACTCCAGAAGCTTGGAAAGTCTCGAGAGCTTATTATCACGCAGGGGGGAGTTTACAACACATGTCAAAAGTCGCAGAAGAATGGTCAAAGGAAGTCACTCTTCACAAGTTTATACTACAAACAAAAAATGTTCAGGCTTATTTTGACCAATACCAGCTGGTCTTGGTCAAAGTCGTCGTGACATTTCGCATAGACTACCATTGAATACTGGAATTGAAACTGCGCTGCTGTTTTCTTTGACGTAACATGATCATTGCACCCTGTCTCATATATTAATTAAACATTTCTTCTGACCAAGATTTCCCACCCAGAGAATGAAAACTTTTGACACCTATTCACACACAGGGACACAGTGTATCTTCAAGCTTATCAGAATGGTCCAGTGCGAACATTCTTCAGAAATTTAAATTACTATATAATAGTTTTTAAGCTTATTCGCGCAAGACTAGTCTTGAGTATAGGCTTCCCCAGCTGATACCTCGGCAAATTTGTCGCATAGACATTGGAAAAATCACCTGTTGAAACAATCACAACATTCATTAGAATCGCTTTCCAGCCAGGCTGCTTCTTCCTTAGAGCTCATAACGATAGTTATCTGGATTCAACATCATCCAATCTGACGCGAAGAAGTGGGGTGAGGGTCCAGTATTCACCTCGTTGCACGCATTCTCCAAAGTTTGATGGAGATATCTTGTAATTTCGCACATTCCGATTTTTGAGCTTGAATTCTTGTCAAAACCACACTCAATTCAACCTCCGCAAAGGTACATTGCTAAAGGTGGGTGGAGGAAGCCCCACAAAGCCAAAAATATGTATGACTTCTGGCGGCATTCAGCGCGAACCAATTATGTAGTGAAAGTTACATATCCTCAAATCATTACACTGAAATGTGATTGATTACCGAACCTGTGATTATCTGTACCTCCGTCTAATATTACACCACGCAACTCTCTAAATAAGTGAATGTAAAGGCAGTAGATCAGACTGCCCTTTGTATATGGTAGTTACTTCAAGGAGAACAGCGAGATCAGTTGGTTTTTTATTTTTATGATCACTCTCCACATCAAGGAGGAAAGAGACATATAACTATCCAGCTCGGCTACTTCCGTTAAAAACTCGGTATCTACTTGGATATAGACAACTTCCCCGTTTGATCGTTACAACTGTTCGCTGATGTACGTAAAGCAAACACTCCAGTAGACAGTCAGTATGCCATTCTTGAAAAAAAATGATAGCAATCCTTCATAGGAAAATATATTCCTTATTGAATCAGGTCACCTGTGTCCTTCGAATCACAGACGGTTATTTTTTGAAGGACCCTATGGAAGAAAGTACAGGGCAACAAATCTGTGAGTGCAGAGCTACAAAGTTTGTGATCGAAAATTTGACCGCAAACTCTGGTGCAAAAAAAACTATGCCTGGATCATTTAGAGCTGAAGCAGACATAGATCTTGATCATACACGGTATGTACCTAGCGTTTACGCTAAGACCCGTATCAGAACCTATGGCTCATCAGAACATCAGGGCCGTTCCCCAAAGTTGCTGTGATTGTTACTCAGCTAACAACGACGGAATCGATCCGGCTTAGATGATAATATTCACATATCCTGTGACTGAATTCTATATGAGTATGTAAAATCCCCTGTATTACCCAAACGAGATAGCTGTAGAAAAACTATCCATCTTCTCTGCTGATTTGGTGTTCTGTACTAATCTACCGCAAATACTTACTGCTCTGACTCCAGTAGAGGAATCGAGCATTCATTGAGTATAATAAGGACAATCACTTGTGGCATTTTCTTGCTGCTGCATTGACTTGTTTGACCTGCAAACAGGTCCGCAAATTTGAACGATAAATTCAATAGTTGAGGTCCGAAGTCGGTTCTTATCTTCTCCTCACGGGAGGGACTTTGATACCCTGTCGAACTCAATCTCTGTTCCACCTCGTCGGGAAGTGAACCTGCGGCTTGTAGGAATCGGTCGAGTTTATCGTAGAATTGCTGGTGGAGTTCACAGTAGGGACGTAGTCTATCCAGCTGATGTCATTAGCTTTCTGAAACTTGTACCCAAACTCCTCCATGTCTAGTGCATCCTTGACCTTAACTCTTCTAATGGTAGCGGTTTCATCGTAGAACAGAAACTCTGCCTCGAGAAAATCGGGATCTGAGTAGTCCACGCGCTCTCCTCCGGGAACTTTGTGCCAGTTGTTCCACAATCTGTCGATATTCGAGTGATGAGCATAGAAAAGAGGATCTCCAGCCGAAGTTTCCACCACGCCCATGGTATTCCCAACCCACCAATGGATACTGGCATGGCCCATGACTTCCAATCCTCCTGCTCCTGTCAGTGGGTCCAGAACCTGGTAGTCTCCATACCTGTAAATTCTGCCCATGAATCCCCTGGTTGTGTTTCCCACAGTGACCATACTAGCATGCATGGTGGCAAGATTCCTGGGCTTGACAACTTCTGCTGGTCGGGTCGGAGGGTTGTCACGCTCCTCGGGAACGATTCCAAGGTCCACAGGCAGGCCTGGCAATTTGGTCCTGGATGAGCGATTTTGGTACTGGCCCATTCCCGTGATGTTGTAGATGGGTGGAAGTAAGTCACCCCTCTTGTAGCAGCCGCTTCGAGCTCCCTTCGGTTTGTGAACTGTGAAGCCATTGTCCCAATTCCAGAAGTGCAGAGAGAATTCCGGATCGTCCAGAACGTGCTGAATTATTCTCTCGTGGAAGTAGATGAAGTATCTATGCCAGGGGAAGAACAACCAGCTGAAGTGGATGTCGATGGTGATATTGTCGGTACCTTGCTGAACAAACCCGCCTGTACCGTAGCTGCAGTGCAGTCTTTTTTGTTGATTCAGCGAACGAGGATCGTCGTCTGGAAGATTGCGTAAAATTGTGTAGGCCTTGTCCAACTTCTCGGTATAGACCTTCAGCTCGTGCCCGCTTAAGCATTGCAGGGCTTTCCTAACTCTCAGAGGTTTACTCATATTCCTCTTGGGGCAGAAGTCCACTATCTCGCCTTTATATGGTGGTGGGCAGCAGTACTGAGTTTTATTGTTGGCAAATCCCGGAATGCAGCCATCGAATGTGATTTTGATTGGTGCAGACTGAGCCAACTGAGAGTTTGTCACCAACCATGCGCAGCAAACTAGCAGTTGAATGAAATGCACAGAAATGTCGAACCTCCCCGAAGCCGCCATCTGAGCTGCAAAGCATTGATTACAGAGCTGAACATTAGATCTATGTTGGAATCGTCAACATCAGTTGCAGTCATGCGAACATCAATCAACTCGTCAGTCATCTCACCCGCGATGATTGGAGTCAGAGTGTGTGCATGCTCAACTGAGCATTATTTTAGCTCTATACTACATAAAACTATTCACCATTACTTGCTAAATGAATTTAAATCCTCTCTCCATGCTTTTTCCAGGTACCAGATCCACGAGCTTCAATCCTAAATCATACTTCTCAGTGGTTATGTCAATTACAAATATGCGCAAAATGCACGTTACACGTAACATCTCGGTAGTGCAGCATAGGTAGCAAACTAAACCTCGGAGATTTGTAGTGAGCAGAGGACAATATACAAGGTCCAGGTCTACGCCTCAGCTCAATGAACTCTAAATGCATTTCGCCTTATTTAATTCTGATCATCTCTGTCATGAGTACCTGCTGCTGGTTCTCGAAGAAAAAATTTTATCCTCAAATTTTCCACTCCAAGCGGAAGCTCTCGGTGACGACTAGCAGAACTCGTTACGTGAACTTCCACAGTTTCTCATCCACGAGTTCAGATCCAGCTCTGAAAACGCCAATGCCCAGGAGTACGACCACTATAGAATAGTCTGCCCATCACTTGTGTACAGCTGAACTTCCGCTCACTAGTTCTCCTAGAGCAGTAGCACTTTCTGGTGCAATCGAGGTGTCAGTACTCATGCCAGACCTACTGCTCGGAATGAGCTTTGTTCCGAAGAGCCTGATGGAAACAGCACTGGAGATGGGATTTATAAGCCTTGACAAGAGGCTAGTCCATCGGCACTCTGATAGAATGACTACAAAAGGTACTCCCTATCGCATAGCTCTTTCTACGTCTTTCTCCTCTCAGCTTCCCATCCAGGTTTTTCTCCGTGCAGATTTTTCCAAATTGTAGTAAATTTGGAAAAATTACAACGTTTTCCTCTTTGAAACACATGATGACAATGTTGTAACCGGATGTAAGAAAACATAGGTGGGAGTAAATAAGAAAAGGGAGTGCACCGTGTCTGAATCTCTATGTCAGATCTTTCCCTTTTAAAAACAGCAGATGAGATTCGTCCTGCTCGCTCCGTTGCGGCATGAAAAGTTGGGTGGACTATGAACATCTCTGTGCCCGTCTCGCTTCTACAAATGGGATGGACTGACTACGGAGATAACGGACCGGAGGTAAAAAGTCACCGAGATGTCCGCCTTTGAGAAGTAAAGAAGTCGGTTTTTACTTCGTTGACGAGGTGATGGAATATAAACTCTGAGCCTTCCAGTGTTGTATGTGCTTGCTTGTTTCACGTATGGTAATCCATAATCTGCGGATTGCGTGGACCGTGAAAAACTTTATATGCTTCCTTTACGTTCCCCTACCAAGAATGTTTACGTACCCTTGCCTGGTGCCACGTTCAAACATACTTCTGATTCTAGTTCATCACGTGCTCAGAGATTCAAGAGTTCTTCGCTTTATTTATTGGTGAATATAATGATTCCACAATTTAATTTCAACCACTTTCATTCCGAGAGAATGGACAAAGATCTCTGCTTTTGGCCAGACTTACAGCACCTTTAATGAGTCACCCTACTTTAGGATATTGTTTTGCGGTAGGATGAATAAGTGAAATTTTATCCGGTTAATGAACTACGGATCATCACACTGACTCACAGAAAGGGCACTTTTTGTAAGGAAATACGTTTGACGATGAGGATGTTCCTCGGATTGATTTCTCAAAAGCGTCGATAGCGGGTGGGCTTAAGAGCAAATTGCTTGGACTTAGTACGGGGACCGCCAGATTATAATTGCTCGGTAAGAGAAACGGTATGCCTTGTTAATGGCAAATTACACCTCCAATCTCCAGGACTCCTAGAATATGGTACAGCGTCGACCTCTCCGCTCGAGTTCGAGTTATTTCAAATCATAAATCGGATCATTGGTTCGAGTTTTCTTTCGTAACTTAATCGAAAATCAGTGCCGGCATTGTTTCTGACTTCTGCAGCAGCGTTCATATGGATCTCGACCGTCCACTAAAAGCTAACGGATTTCAGTTCAGAACCAATCAATATTTTCGATTCCTATGAATTCAGCTTTCTTCGGACTCAATCTAGCATATGATGCTAGATTGAGTCCGAACTTATAGGTCGAGTCCGTCCATTTCCTCTAAAATTCACCGACCTCGGCACCCTGAGAGCTTTGTCAGAGCCTCAGTTTGTCTTTACTTAGAGACCAGCTCGACGCTTTGTTCTGAAAGGCCACTCGCAATACAGACGCACGAGACTTTTGTGTTCCGGAATGTCTTGAAATGTTTGGTGGGCTTGTGAGGCTTGTCTGGCCTGCGTGATCTAGCCCTTCGATCTGGGTCTCTAGTTACCGAGCGTTTCGAAATCTGGCTCACTGGAGGTGGGGTGCTACAGTCTAGACCACTCGGACGGTAGACTTACCAAACCTGAAACTGTCGTGGAGCTACACCGTTGACATTTTCAGTTAGTTACCTCACCAACCAGGGCAGAGCTCCAACCTCGTCACAAATCCTCTGTTCCGGATTTTTATATACCTGGAATTGAGTTCTTATTTGTCTGGGGCCCGAACATTTTGACTAGTGACGAGGATTAGAACTCGATGAGTTATGAAGCCGAAGCCGATGGTAACTAGGAGAGTCGGCCGCTTGAAAATCTTCATGGTATACTGCCCCGCTGCAATCAGGGCATTGAGGTACCGCTATTCGACCTTCTGGGATCCTCGAAACCTACCAGTATGGGTCAGGTTGCTGGACTTGCAAAGGATCTGACCTTCGTGATCTCCCTAGTTGCAACTGAGACAGGTCCATCCTCACAAGAAGGATCGGATCCCCAGAGGTGCGACTTAAGTCCGGCCGATAGTAAGAAATCCGAAGAAGCTGTACTCTCTGATAATCAGGATCTACTGAATCAGTTGTTCTCTTGAGAGTACTATGTTGACTGCACTTTTCAGGACCTAGAAGAATTGACTCAACTCAGATTGACCTTCTGCAAATGAAGGGAACATTCTTCACTAGTCCGCTCTGCAATCAGCAAGCTGACGACTGTACGATTGTAATTTCCACTGAGCGTACTTCCACACGGTGCTTCCTGAATCTTGAGCTGGCCTGAACTTTGTAGCACTTCGTTCTATGCATAGCCGTATCAAGACCTGAAGCCGCACACCTTTCACACTTTACATGAATCGACTTATCTAAGCAGTTGATCACGCAAGAGTCCTCTAGTGTCTTTATTGCCTCAAACAACGAACAAGCTGCTGATGCTGAGAACTGTAATGAACTCATGACTCACTCACTGTAATTTGTGGCACATTATTTAATTGGTGACGTTGCATGCACATGTTGCGCACCTGTGATCTACATAAAACTCTTCCATGAATTCCTCTTGTGGGGTCTTTTGTTTCTCCCAACGCTTCCCCCATTTGTTGTTTGTCTGTTGCAGGCCCTGTATATTTAAGTGGCCGCTAGTGATCAATGGTCAAGACGAATAACCTGCTAGCCTCCTATGGCCACCAAAATAAAGTCTGGTCAAACGTGTATTAGATATCTGCTCAGATGTTCGTTACGTAATCCGCTATACGGGATGCTTTTGTGCTTTTGTTACCTGATAAAACAAATAATATTGGTTTGCAGCCAATGTTCTTGGATGCAGGCCTCATGACTGTCTTCCGTTGACAAAGTTATGGTGACTACGTCATAGGTATTGACCACCTTAGCCACATTAATTTAACTCAAGCTCCTTGGTTCATTTTCAAGTCTATAAGAATCCATCTTTAGTTCCTGACTCATCTTTAGCCACATCATTTTTCAAAATGCGAAGTAGATACCATCAATATATGATGACAAGGCTTCAAATGAATTATATGAAGGCTGTGCTCTGAAGCAATGCTAATCTTTCTTTCACACATTGGCTCGAGACCAGGCCTTTGAGATTTTATTGGCAATCAGTTCGGAGTGCGTAAATCGCATGCACTTTGGCGTCCTGTTTCACCGGTGAGGAGAATCCTAGGTCACAACGGAAATGTATTCTCTAAGTTTATAGAACAGTTTATGTTACGTTTGGATAAGAATGTTGGATAATGTTTTAACAACTAGCACAAGAGGCTCAGCTTTGTGCTAAAATGGACAAAAGAATAGGCTGGATATTGTCATGAAAAAAAAATTTGCAAAAGTAAATTAAATTAAATTAAATTTACTCAAAATAACCGATCAATAAAACAAATATAAATTGAATAAAATTTTGAATGAATTTCTTTTTGGATGAAAACTACTGATATAGATGTTCACTTCTTTTTTATATCAATTTGATCTGATTCAATTTAAACAGTCATGATAGTAATAAATCAATTTGGCTGCACTAGAAATACAATAAAATGATTAATCAAATTTTAATTGGTTATGAAAAATGAGGTAATGAGGAAATTTTGGGTTTTGCTGATCTTCTCATATTCTTTTTTAGTTTATTTTTTTTATCCAGTTTAGAAGGTAAACTAAAATGATATACAATCCTAAATCTACTGGGCTGAATAAAATATGAAAAATCCCTAATGACTGTTACATAAGAAATAAATTATGATTTTTAGAAAGAAAATTTAAAATATTCAAAATTTTCGAAAAATAAATGATATGAGAATTTTTTGAATTAAAATTTTGATGATTTTATCTTGCAGTAATAATTTCATCAGTGACCTTAAATCTTATCATTTTTCTTAAAAAACATGATATTAGGAAAATCCTTTGCGGTAATAATTTATGTAAAGTAAATATATATATCCTCAAATAATTAAAAAATTTATAAATTTTAAATCTAAAATATATTTTATTTAAAAAATTTCAATAATCTTGCGATCTTAAATAAATTGCAAGAAATAATCATCAGGAAAAAATGAAATCGTCATATGAAATTTTTGAGTTCAATAAATATTATGAATATTGAAATCAAAAAATATTCGTAGGATACTTAATAGAATCTTGATTAATCAAAAAGTATATCGATGAACTCAAGATTAAAAAACATATTTTTTCAAGAAATTTTAACAGCCTAATGCTTGATGTTAAAGTTTTAAAATGAACAATGTCTCTAATGAATATAGTAAAAGAATTTCAAGTGCACCTGAAAAAGAAAGAAAAAATATATATTTTTTGATTTTGAATTTTAATCAATCTTCCATGACTACACTTGCAAAACTCATGTAAAATATTTTTTAAATGATAACATAATTTTGCTAATTTTTCTATACTGGAAATAATACAAGGAGTTGTGATTAAAATATACGTAAATTAGTTGTGTCATCACTTCAATATAAAATATTCCATTTATAATATATTTTTGTAATCAAATGTATTTTACAATATTTTTAAACCTATGTTTATTATCTAATTATAAAAATGAATCAAAGTGAAAAACTGCTATACAAAATCCATAAAAACTGTAAACTTTTAAATCACATAATTTTTTATACCATTTATTTATATACAGAAAAAATCATATTCAAGTATAATGAAATCATATTCATCAACAAAATTTTTCATAAAAAATTTCTATGTTTATCAATTGTCAAATGAAAAAGTCAAACAAAATTTGCTCGACAGATTAATTCTTAATTTTCAATTTCAAAATGTTTCTATTATAAAATTTGATAAAGAACACATCTGTTTAAAGATACAACTATTGAATATAATTGTATAAAAAAATATTAATAAAAAAATTCTTCCTCTTAATAATTGATTGCTGAAAATTAAAGTGAAGCCTCAATCTGTTGTCTACAATTTTGATCAAATAAAATTCAGTAAATAAAATTTGTAATTTTTATTATACATAACATTATACATACATTTTTATTATACAATTATATATTCAAATTAATCAGCTTATGTTTTCTTTACCATCATTTTATGTTGGTAAAAACTTTAAGGATTGGAAAAAAATAACTACTTTCACATTTGGAGATCATACATCCAACATTAATTTTAACTTTTTTAAAAAAAAGAAAAGTCCAATTGCATAAGCGCATATTGCAATATTGAAATATAAATTTTTGACGCTTAAACTTTGAAATATATGATAGTCACAAACTTTCACTAGCATTTGAAATTCTTTACTTTTTCAACTCTCTTCTACTTATATACCATTGGTGCAGTTGTGTTTCCAATTTCATGCTTTTGTATATTTTTTCAAACATTTTGCTCGCTCACAATATTTAAAGTCTAGCTTGACTAGCCTTTAATAAGCAAACTCTTGACTTCATTTGACATTTTTGCTTTATCAATTCTCACCACTTGATCTTACGTTATTAAAATTGTGGTTTTTATGCTTTGAAACTCTATGTTAACTCACTAGAATTTAAAACTAACTTGACCATATGAAGTACAAGCTTCAATTCATCATTTTGAAAATTTGATATGCTTTGTACTTTGTAATCAAACATATGACTTTAACATAATTGTCATTATCATTGCACAATCAAACTACATGCAAGAACAGTTTTTTGAAACATAAGACTTAGAAATCTCTCATCCAAAATTGTAAGATTTGTTCTGTGAGAGATATATATCATTTTAAGTATTTAGTATTTCATGAGTACCAATTTTTAGCTTTTTTGTTGATTGACTAAAGCATATATTACTTTCAAGGACATATTTGACATCATTTGATCTTGGAGATGCTTGCCTGAAAATGAAGACTTATGATAACAAGAAGTAAATTATTGAGATTCATAACTTGATATTGGCTTTTTCAAATAGTTGAAACATGTTATTTTGGAATATGTGAAGTGTTAGGATTTTAGATAGGAAAAAATGACGTCCAATCAAGCATCTACTTTCTTTGACTTTATGAATCAATTTTTTTTTTAACTATCTACATTTAAATGTGATGATATCTTTACATTTGAGACTATTTTGAAATTGAAGGAAAATAAATCAATGATTTTTCTTTTTTTTGAATAGATGTTTATTCAACTTTTTCAAATAGTTGGCTCAACAAAGTTAAAAATTTTAGCATTTGTTATGATCCAATAATTATTACAATAAATAGTGAATTATAATTGAAAATTTTTATAGAACTCTAAAAAAATGAGGTTATATATTTGAAAAACATATGTGTGTATTAGTATATTACTCTATCCCATTTTTGTATAAGTTTGTTTCAAATCCAATCGAATCTGTAATAGATGTAGAACTTTGTCTCCTTTTTATACACCTTTTGAATATACAGTATTACAGTTTGTAAGGTTGAATCGGATGTTATAAACATCTTAAGTCAGTTAGAACTAATGTAAAGGTCACTCAAGATTGAATAAAGCAGATGATAATAGAATATCTATAGTATCACGTCAGCAATCCGTGTGCTAATTGAGTGTGCTAGTTATTGTTTTAATCACAAACGACGCGTCAACAATATGTAAAGATTATTGGTTATATCCACCATGTCACCATTTCACTAGCTATGTATTGAATGATGAGAATGAGGTCTTATCTCTTTGTAAGAGTTATATAAAGAAGAGAAGAATCATTGTTGGTATCTATTATTTTCAAAATTTAGATTTTTATTTTCAGTGAGCTTCTCTGTAAACCCTAGTGTTACAAATATTATATTTTACTATTTTGAATTATGGATAATCATTTATCATTATAGATTTTGTAATAAAAAATAGTACTTTGATTGCAAGCACAACAAAGAATGACAGTATATAAAAATTTGCTGGATGTATAGATGGGTGGGAACTCATGATTCATGCTTAGTTCATATCTCATGCAGCAACATATGATAAACATTCAATAAAAGATTTCGTCAAACTGATGTAATAATATATCAATCACTTTTTTATATCATAAGAATCTGATTGTGGTTCAATTTATAAGAATAAGATTGTGATATTTCAGGTAAAATCAAAATTGGTGCTCATGCATTAATTTTATTATTCTTTTTCCAGCCAAGTTCAATGAAATTTCTGATAAACATTTTAAACTATAATCTCCACAAGATATTTCCTCATGATGGCCATGTGTTCTTCCAGGTTTTAATCTCGCTATTGTTTCCACATGAATATGTACATTGGTACCAAATGAAAAACCAAACCATAAACCCAAAACGTTGTTGGGCCTATGGTTTTATATGAGTACTTGGTGAGGCGTAGTGATATGGATGGCAATCTTGGTATATTTCATGCACTTACGTAGTACCAAGACCAATTTGGATCGTTGGGTTATATTCAATAAACTATCAATTAATTTTGAAACATTTGTGATGGAGAGGGCCGGCGGGTAATTAACTCAACGTTGGAGTGAAGCCCACGTGACACGACACAAGGCAGCAACTTCGGTAACAGTGTTGTACTTAATTTGTATAAAAAGTGCCAAACATTGGGAACTATCCGAACAAAAGTGACCAAAAACACAAATATTCACTTCATTGTTCACTTGATTCCGTCGAAAACGGAAAGTCAACGTCCATGGTCGGTACGAAAAGGCTTCCATCTCTTGTCGAGCACGTCAGTGACTGGCCTGGAAGATGGAACCGCAACAGTGGCATCGCCCTCGGAACGCGACGAAGAGGTTTAGGCCTTGTGATTCAACACTCAAATTGTTGGTGGGGGGCGGGGTTTCACCAGAGGGAACGCGGCGAGGACGGGTGATGATTGGCATTCCAGGGTGGAAGGGCAAATTCGGGAGCTGCTGCAGTGAAAAACACGAATACCAGATCAAACCTGTAGTTCCCAAGACTTCCATTAATTCGCCTGGAGCAAAAAGCCTCCGAAAAGGTCAACCTTGCCAAAAGCAAATTCGTCTAATTTGCTCCGCTCAACGACCTTCTCCGCGTTGCCAACTGCAGGTGATATCGCACCACCACCGTCGGAAAACGACGAACAGAATTGTTGGTGGAAAGATGGCTCAAAACTAGTAGTTCGATCACACGGGACATGGTTTGTTGTTGGAAGCTTATCTCTCTCTCTCTCTCGCCAGTTCTGGCACCCTCGTTAGTTGGTGGTGACTAGCAGACAGCATCGACGATTTTCATGTCTCCTGATGTACAATCGAAGGACAGACATTCACGAAAGGCTGACATGGCTGAACTTCTTTCTAAGGCTAGGGGACGGCCAGAGATGCCTGCGACTGTACGCCTTTGGAGAAGCCAACGAATCGATCTTGGGAATCCAGAGCAGTGGAGCTCGAAAGTTGCCCCGCCACCGACAGACGTAATCAGTGCCGAACATTCTGTTCTTGCAGGAACCCTAAATCCTTTGCGGGGTTCTCCGCCCTAGGGCTTCTGATCAGGTTGCTACTGATGCAGTGCGGGTTTCGAAGAGAACCGGAACATATGGAGGACAGTGGACTCTGGTTCAATCATTCGAGCACGCAATGACTAAGCCTCGTCTTTTGTGTACCAGTGCACGTAGCGGCGGATCCACATGCACACATCACACATCCAATTCTTAGAAAGGAGATCTGTATGAGCTGTGCCGGGTAACGAGAACGGGATAGTTCTGCTGCTCCTAGAAAGGAGAAACACATAATAAGACGGAAGATAGAAAGACGACGCTATAACAGACCAAGCAAGAACAGACCTCCGTAAAACAAACGAAGTTTTATGGAGGAGTCGAGGAAGTAAGAAAGATTTTGCGAAAAAGGCCAGTAGACCACGTAGAAATCGTACAGAGTAGAATCAAAAAGAGGGTGGGAAGACCACTTGAAGTCAAATACAAAAAAACGGGTAAGATGGGCTAGGCTTCAATGGCATGACGATTGGAAATGTGTCCTATACAAATGCACGTAACATCAGATACAGCCTGTCTTCACAGATAGATGGTCAAAGCGCAGAACATTCTTCTTGCCAGGGACAAAGCTAGTCACGGTCCTCAATCACACAGCATGCATTAAGTAAACCCAGGATAACTTCTAGAGATACATAGAGGACGTTTCGATTCATTGAAATACACTTCCGTGTAAGGACGGGCTCTATTACTAATGGCTGGCAGACATGCAGGTTGAGGTTTTCTGCCCACACTTTTGGTGCATTCTCGTGTTTCAAAAATGTAGTGCATGATGTGTTTCATTCACACTTAGTGCACGAACGAACTAACAAAGATTCATATGTTTGCGCTGATGATGCCTGGTACATCTTCTTCTTACCATAAACCTATAGAATGAACAACCAGTGGATCATATCAACATAGACCATAGTTGTGGCCTAATTTTTAGGAGTGCAATAATTTGCATTCTTTGTGCCATGGAGTAAACTCTTTTCGAACTGTTATGATATCACATCCCAATAGTGCTGTGCAGTTTGCAGACTTTACGTCACAATATCCGAAACTGTAAAACATCTAATGATCAATAACTTCGTCTTAATTTCTCCTTCTACTTTTAAAAAAACCAATATACATCTAAAAGAAATCTGAAATCATTCCAATAAACAATTCGTTTCCTCATTAGCAGCATCTTGATGCCTCGTCCGGCTTCGTATGCCAAGTAAATCGAGACGTTTTCCATTATGTGGACAATACTCAACAGATTGTTAAGGTGATTTTGGTATCTAAACTGTAATTAGCACAACAACACTATGACCAATAGTGCCGAATGTACAGGTGACACGGTGACCTTCAAGATAGCAGTTACTTTCATCTCTACATCTAGAGGCCTACATTTCACTACAGAACCAGATTTCACTAACCAGATTTTGCCACTATCGTCCCATATTTTGTTATTATAGTTGAGTGTACCTATAGTGATAGTGCAGTACGACAAAATATACAGGAGTGAAACAATCTATGTATCCGACGAATCCTGAATGTGCAAAGCTAGTTGCGAGTGCCAATTCCTAAACTCAGGAGAGTATCAAACGCGAAGACTTGTAAGCTCATCAGTACGGTGTTCATAAATGGTAATCTACTATTGCGATGTTGTGAGATTCGTGTAACTTTGTGACTCAATTGATGTCATGACAACAATAAATTTTACGCCTTTTCCCCTAATGTCAAAATAACTGATCACACCATTTACATAGGGTTTCAATGGATGTAGGAGCTAGTCGCAGCAATCACAATTTACACATGGATTATACAATAAAGTTTCGTAACCAGATGATTGTGGACGAAGGTCAACTACATCAATCAATTCATGGTTATAATATGTACAGAATGCAACCCAATCCATGCCCACATTCTTTACAAATCTCATGAGTCCATTGGGAATTAGATGGGCTACAAGATTTGAGCAGGGATTTGAAATGGTCACGAACAGGTTATCTTTATGTATTTGGGACAGGTTATATTTGTGTGAGTTTTGAATAGTTTGGTAGCTTACATAAACATAAACTCCCCACACCCTCGGTTTCAATACGAAGTCACCATTCATGCAACATAGGTTGGTTTGTTCCTCATTCCTAGTCTATGAGGTCAAGCATAGTTGTATCAAGCAAGTGTATTATACACTTCCCTTGCATCTTGCAAGAGACGAGAGTATCAAACTTACTAAGTATTGCGGTGAAAAGCAATCTAGGAGTGTAATTGTATATTTGCATCTTGCAAGAGAGTAGACTATCAAACTTCATAGGCGTTGCATGAAAAGCAGTCTAGGAGTGTAATTTTATCCTTACTCTATCCTTGTACAACTTGAAAATCTACTCATTAACCCTTGTGAAACTTGTTAAACTTCAGTACATTTGACATTTAATCATTAATAAAACTGCTTCAGACAAGGATGCATATAACAAACTTTTAATATGTGATGACATCATTGAAATTTTATGGTTACATTTATCTCACATTGACTATTTAATCTTCTAATGATGCAAGTTAAACTTTAAAATATATTTAGATTCTTGCGCAACATTATGTTGGTTTGATCAGTTCCAAGATGTCAATATTGAATATTTTGTATAATTGAATATTTTTACAAAAATAAATTATCTTTTATTTAAATTTTTCATAATTTTTAGTTTGATATATAAAAAATAATAAATTGAAGTATGTATTGAAAAGAATAATGAATTGAAGTATTGAAATATGTCATTAAAACTTATATGATTTATATGAGATATATTTTGTAATCACAAAAAATAAAAATGAAAAAGAATTCCATAGTAAAAAAGGAAATTTGTATTTTTTAAAAGGTTGTTACAAATTTACTTTAATTTATATCAATGAGATAGTATAATTTATCAATTTTAAAATATTAGCAATAATCATAACCTACTAAAAAAAGTGAAAATTGATTTAAATGATATTTCAATCAAAAAATTAGCTTTCAAAATAATATGCAAGATAAGTTTTAAGGAATTACACTGTTTAGCACTATGAAATGTAGATGCATTAAAAAATTTCAATTGCAAAAATATGTTATATGATAATTTTACATTAATAAAAATAATTATATAAAAATTAAATTACATAATATATACAGATTGATCATGATCATCTACATGAACATGAACTAACAATTTAAATGTCATTACAATGACATCTATACATGAATAATTGAAGACCTATTGAACTGAATAATACTTAATTCTTATTTTTTGAAATAAAAAAAACTGTTTTGTTATCACTTTTATCATTGGATGTTTTCTAACATTAGAATTTTAAAATTTAAAAAAAAAACACAGTTTTTTTTCATACTACATAATCGTATAATAAGAATATTATTGTTATATGTAAAAATCAGTAAAAATACGTTTGTCAAATTATTTGAGATAAACATATTTATTCATATAACTTTTTTCAAATCTGTAAATTTGAACTGTTTAAAAATATAAAAATAGTTTTAATTGTTGAAACTTAATGCAATTATGTAGATTATACTATGAATGAAAATACTTGAATTTCATATTGATTTTTTATATATTTTTTATATTTATTAGCACATTGTTATTAATCTTCATTCTCATTTCAAAACATTTGGATATGATTGTTATTTTATTTACTTGATGTTAAAGTTTTAAAATGAACAATGATTCTAATAAATATAGTAAAAGAATTTTAAATGCAACTAAAAAAACAACTAAATCTTACTTTTGGATTCTTTGATTTTAATCAATCTTTCATGTTTACACTTGCAAAAACTCATGTAAAATTTTTTTTACATGATAATAAAATTTTACTATAAATAGTGTAATAATGTCAAGGCAAAAAACGAAAATCACAGATCATTTGAATATGATTGTTATAACCCATAACTATAAATTAACCAAAGATATGATATTCATTTTAGAAATCATAGAGATTCAATACACATATCAATTTTGCTTTTTGAAATATATAAGTGAATAAAATAATTTTTCATGTTATCAATAAGTACTTGTTGCTTGAATTGAAAATTAATCTATAGGCAAGTATTTTTTAATAAAAAATGCTTTTTACATTCTCAAAACTAATTTTTTGGTTATTCAATCTTCATGTAATCAAATATGTATTTTTAAAATGTTAGCTGAATAAAATATTTGCATCTCACAAATTTTTTCACATTCATTGAGATAAAACAAAAGACAAATTTGTTAACATTGTATTGCAACTTTTTATCAAGTAATTGTCTTATTATACAATTAAGTTGATTGTATTCAAAATTTAATTTGAATTCATTAGCTATTTATATTTATAATTTCATATGTTTTTTTCTAGAGTCTTATTTTTAAAATTTTTTTATTTAGTTGAAATTTTGGACCTAAATAAGTTACAAATTTATGGATGAATTAATTTTAATATCATAACTATGAAATTTTTTTGTTAAAGAGAAACACATATGAATATAATTTTTAATATGATAATTTTTAGTATTTTGAAAATGAATTTTTTTCCAAATTTTTTTTCAAATGTTTTCTATGTTGTTGCTCTCATATGCATAAAATTTTTTAAAAAAATTTAAAATTTATACTCTCATAGGTTAACCACAACTGTAAGAAAAAACCAGGAAAATCTTTGAAAAAAACATAATAAACTAATGATGATGCAGGAATTATGATCAATGATCAATTTTCATTGAATATATCTTCGTTTTAGAATTCTCCCACTTGTTCTTCAAACAATTATAAATGAATACCGATGATATATTATTTAGTTCATCACATTGCTTTCATCGACTGAAATACCATTTTTCTTAAAAAAAATATAAAATATGATTTTTTTTGCAAAAATATTATATATTTTTTAGTTCTTGTCTTTAAAATATAGAAATAAATTAATAGAAGATAATTTGTATAACATTTAATGTGGATTAAAATTTTAAATATAAATAGGAATTTTACGTTCATGCACTATTTGAAAAAATTGCTCAGAACAACGCAGTGAATAAAAAATTTCATTTAAGATTACATTAATGATAATTTGACATGTATTGATCCATAAATCAATATATATGAATATTATTATAAAAAAAGGTCCATATTTTCAAAATGTGTGAAAGATTATATAATAAATCCATGGTGAATGAGTTCACATATGTACATTCTGATTCTTGATTAAATTTTGAAGATTACTGAAATTAAAACCAAGTGAAATGCAACCTTAAGTTATTAAAATATCATCAACTTGAATGTGTCCGGACAAACACACTTTATATATGTTGCATAAATCTATTTGAAAATCACCAATAAAGTATATTATATTTACTCTTCATTATAATTTTCATTATTATAAATGATAAGTTAATCTTAAAATCCAAAACATATAGTTAAAAATATTTTGTCAAATCTTTTGTTTAAGATTTATTTTGTTGAAAAAATTGAGTTTTTTTTATATCAATCAAAATTCAAATCAAAATATATGAATGGATAAAGTTGTGTTTTTGTGTTGTATGATAAAATATGATAATGATTATTTTTATTTGATAACATTAATACATACATCACATTCGATTCATGTAATAACCCACTAAAGGCTAAAACTGCAATATAGTGGTAGAAAGGTCGAACCCACAGGGACAGAGGAACACACAGGGTACAAAGTGTCACGTTTTAACAGACTATTGAGGAGTTTGAATTCTCAGGCAACTGTCACTCCCAGAAATAC